AATTAAAGTTGTCAAACCTTGGTTGTATTGTTGGCCCAACCCTTGTCAGATTTGCAAGTGTTCCCAACATTGACTCTCTTTACCTCTATAGAGTATCTCCATAAAAGATTGTATTGTTTCACTGCATCACCTTCAACCAAAGTTTTTGCAATTTGTTCTTCCTTCCATGCTTTGCTCATAGTTATACCAACTGAAAAGTTACTCCTAATCTCAGTCACATATCTCAAATCTCACTGCTTGGAGAAGTCATTCTAGCCGCCAAAGTTTTAGCAACCCACTTGGAAGTGACAGAGCTATTATTTAGTACCCTACCACACATGTGTGTTTCAATCCATTTCTTCATTCTATACGTGTGCTTATTTCCAACTTTACTTACAAGTGCTAAAAACCTACATTTTCCCCTTTCAAATTACCCTTACTCTAACTTTGTCATTTTTCACAAACTTTATCTGTCTACCATTCAATATTGACCATTCATTTATTGCCTCCTTAAATTTTTCAAGTGATACAAACTCCAATCCCACATTAAACTTGTAATTCTTGTCCAACTCATGCATCTTAACCTTGGATGTTTTGGTTCCTTTTCTCCATCAGAAGCATCAGGGTCACTATTACCAAGTTCATCATTGGCATAGTTGATGTACATCTCATTAACCATACCACTAGCTAACCCTGCATTATCAACACCAAGTGGTATTTCCTTTGGAGTGTGCTTGTGCTTCTTTGCTGCAACTTTTATCGTACCTCTTTAACCATTATCTTCATCTTGATTTCCAACAGCATCAAAACAATCATCCAACCCAGGAGTCATCTCATCCTCACTATCATCAAATAATAAACCATCATCTACAAAGTCATTATCCTCACTGTCCTCACTATCCTCGTTTACTTCAACTTGCTGAACTCCACTTACATTAGCTTCCCCATCTTGCTCAACTTGCTCCACACCACCAATATTATTTACTTCAACATTCTCCACACCACCAACATCAATACCTACTTCATCTTGATCCACACCACCAATATTATCCACTTCAACATTCTTAACACCACCAACATTATCCACTTCAACATTCTTAACACCACCAACATCATTACCTAGTTTAACTTGTTCCAAACCACCGACATTATCTACTTCCACATTCTCAACAACACCAACATCAATAACTAGTTCAACTTGTTCAACACCATCAACATCAACTTCTTCAACATCACCTACATCAGCTTCTCCTGCATGCGTTTACTTTTATGCTTTACATATATATGCACTGCGCATTTCATTTCTATGGCATATTGATATACATTAGAAACATTTGTGTCACTAACCATTCTAGTATACCTATCAACATAAATGTTATACCATCATAACAAATACTTGGTCTGCTGAAGCTCAGTTAACTTTTTCACAATATTTATTGCTTCAAAAAAGTTCCACCTATCAGGATCTATTTCTATTGCATGCTCGTTTTCCCCTGTGTAGTATACTAGGTAGTGCCTGTCAAATCTACCCATGTAATGAACAATCAAAGAGAACTCCAAGAGATGCAAGCTTCAAGAAGACACAATGATTGAATATGCATACCTTCATTCTGAAACATATTGCATGCAATACCCGTTGGATGATCTTGATATCAGCATTTCGCCATCTTTGTCCTCGTCCCTCACACAACAGCTTTAATGGAGTGTTTCTATTTTTTTTATTAAAAACCTTAATTTACAAGGACTAAATACAAAACATAATTTATGTACACTGTTATGTTTTTGGTGGGAAATTTATAAATTATGTTAATAAATGAAAAACACATATAAGCCAATTCCACGTATGCATTGTTTGCACAGTCAGCATTTTTTAACAGAAGGCTAACGTCAGGGACTAAATGCAACGCAAAAGTAAGTTATAAGGACTCCAACCAAAAAAAGATATAGGGACAAAATTCAAAAACTCGCTAACTTACAAGTAGGGTGGCAAAACGGACTGTGGCCCGCCGGGCCGGCCCGCGCACCCGCTAAAATATGGCGGGCTGGGTTGAATTTTGGATCTGCCGCCCACCAAAGTTCGTCCCGCTAAAGACCGACACCCGCCAAAGCCCGCCCCACCAAAATCCACCGTCTGTGAAAGCCCGCCGCACATATTCATTCAGTTTGTCTCACCTTAAACCTGCCTCTTTTTAGTTAATTCTAGTAATTTCAATTCTCTATGGTTTTATTTTATACATTTTTTTAGAATATATGCAATATATTTTGAAGTAAAATTTGTTAAAAAGATGCTTCATAAAAATTATTCTAAAAAATAAATGAAAAGTTTAATTGAAAAGGCAAAAATAAGTCTATTAATCTATTTAAAAAATGAAAATAAATAAATATAAAAATAAAAGGGCAAGTCCGCCACCTTGGCAGAGTGAGTTAAATTTTTATTTCCATTTCGACTTGCTCACCCCCGCCCCGCTTTTTTTTTTTCAAATTTAAGACAGAGCAGAGAGAGACGGACAATCTATTTTACCACCCCTACTTACAGAATGAAATCACTATTTAAGCCAATATTTTAATTAAATTATATTTGCTTCAGTAATGGAAAGGATCAAAGTATTTTAATGGAATGTGCGTTTAACACACAATGAAAGGGGAAAATTTTTAAAACTAAATTATTATCATATTCTTGAAATCTTATAACAATCATGGTAAGATTTCATTAAGAAAAACTTGTTTATTCATAAATAATAACAAATGTGAAACAAATATGCATTTAAAACCTATAAATATTTTGAATTGAGCATAAAAGTATACTGTGTATTTACATTTATTAATCTCATGTTAGCGTGGACATCAAATAAATGGGACATAAATTTTTAATACTCAAATAAAAGCGTATTGATGAGTGTACTTCCTAAACAGAAAGACTAAGAAGAAGAAAAAATAACAATTCCATCTCCATGCAACTTGATTGTATGAAACTCCTTGCAATATCGCTGCAAAATGTTACAAGCAACAATTGCTTTATTTTAAACAGGATATGGATAGAAAAGCACCCAAACAAACTAAACTAATATTCAACAGACAGTTAAAAGAAAAATTAGAATTTTAACATATTACATATTTACTTGATAACCTTAAAGCTATAGTCAAATGCAACAACAAATTCTACTCGAGAGTTGTCAAATTCTACTTGTCTGACATTGAGAGAATGGTTGGATGTGATAAAATCCTAAAGCAAGCAAATACATATAGCAATCAACAAAGTTGTAGCCCCTTTCGATCTTCAGCTATGGTTCAGTTGAGACTTCATACGAATATCCAATTTGAGTTGTCCAAAACCAAACTGATCTGAAGGAACCAAAAGAAAGTTAGTTGTAGGAACACAGCCATTATTGTCTTGAATAGTCTTCATAGAAGATTGCAATACTAATGTGCTCCCAGAGACCTAGCCAATACATCATAATGATATCTTTTACCAATTTCAGGCCAAGGCAACTAACATGGACAATATTTCCCAGATCAACAAGGTTATTGTGAACGATAAATAGTCTTGCATCAGTTTGATCTAGAAAAACAATTTCTTTCTGGCAAGTATTTAACGAGACAGATATAAATTTGTCATATGTAAACTGTATTCCAAAGCCTACATGTCTATGGCTGAAGTGGAGAGCTAACTCTTTTCGATGATGCAAGAAAGTCGCAACCCATATGTGGACACTTACATGGTATGTATACACATTCCTTTTCATGGCTAGGTTTCAAGTTGCAACTAAACATTTCTTTGCAGCCATATTTTGCATTCGGGCATGATATTTTAATCTATTCCAACAATTACTCCACAGCACAGCAATGAATGTACCCAAATGGGCATTAAGCACATGGGACATATGTTCCTAAGTTCCCCACAACATTTAGAGCAAGCAATATGCCCATTCTCACATGATTGTCATTTAATCACAAAAAAGTTATCAAATTAGATCTTCCAGTACATGGAACAGCAAACAAAACAGTAAAGTACCTCTTAAAGGCTTGCGTGTTTAAGTTGCGAGACAGAATTAAAAAAACATACAACAAACGTGATAAATAGTTACATAGAGCTCCTTCCCTTTCTTTTGAATGGAAGGGGAGAGGTAAATTCCCCCTTCTATTATTGATTACCTTTATATTACAGTAATCAGTACCACATAAAATATTTTCAAAGAACAATTACATACTTCTCTTAGAAAAAAGTTGACATACTAGTCACAATGCGAGAGATCGCCGTCATAGCATTGTGCTTCAAAAGCCAAAATCAATACAAAGTTAAACATTAAATCAAACAACAAACCATGTGATCAGCAACTTTGAGCACAAGGAATACATAAAGTACGTATTTTAGTATGTTTTGAAGACAAAAATCATCTTCACAACAGTAAAAACAGCTTATTTACAAGAAAACATCCGGCAAATAAGAGTTTAAGACTAAATGTCCCCATTCCTCAAGTCTTTAATTGTTTATCGTTATATGGTTAGGAGACCCTTAATTAACTACCTATACCCTTCCATGACAAGGTTAATTTTGTTTTTTAGGTTAAAATTGAGGTGTAAGACTGCCACAGAAATTCATTCAACTGTAACAATGAAGATTTTGAAATACCTTTCAACAAACCCCTCTTATGTATTATTTACATAATCAAGGAAACAGATAAAGGATTATTGAAACAAATCTTAAGCAAATAGGATTATAAGCATCACCACCCATTCGTTGGAATTGCCGTTTTAGCCACATTTTTCTCGAATCCACGGGAATTTCTGACACTAGCATTGGGTATTGTCTTTTGGAGTGGCAGTGTTCAAATCTCTAAAATCAATACAGACTCTAAGAGTGTTATTCTTTTTAATTACTTGGACAATATTGACTAGCTTTTCGACATACCTGGCAGGGCTTATGAACATATTTTTGAGCCGTCTTTCGATCTCTGCCTTGATCTTTGACATTGACCTCTGGCACAAAACTTCTTGGAGTTTTCTTTACAGGATTTGTAGTTTCAAATCGGTAACCGTAACTGAGGAGGATTTTCAATTTCGGGAGATACTACTTGAGACGGTGCAGGTGGAGTTATAAAATTAGTCGGCGCGTCGGGACCATGCAGCTTAATAGCCGCGTTGTCGTACACAATAGCAGCTTCTTCAGCAGTTTGAAACGTGCCAAGCCACACGCGCACACCACGCGACGGGTCTCTTATCTCTGCCGCCCATTTTCCCCATGGCCTCTGCCTAACTCCTATGTATTTCTGCCCGGAGGTGACTCGACGAGTCGCCGGAGGTCTTGTTTTACCACCGGTGCTAGTTCTGTTCCTCTTTCTTGGAACAACGTCTCCGCCGTCGCTGTCGCGGCCAGGGCAGTTATTCTCGCTCTGGCATGGCTCTATGACAATCTCGTTAACAAACTTTTTAGTTCGGTTACATATTGAAGCTTCCTCTTCGTCGCTGGAGGAGTCTGTAGCGTCTTTGTCTGTGTATATTATTCTGACTTTTTTGGGAAATGGATGGCTCGGAGTGTTTTCTTTGGTAGGGTTGATACGGTGAGTGTGTTGCTTTGTTGGTGACAGAGTCATGTTGATGAATGAGGATGAAGGTATGATAAGGTTTTGATTTAGTGTATTAGTTTTTTAGGGTTATTAGCATTTGAAGTGATGAAAAATGGGGGAGAAAGGGATGAAAAGAGAGAGAAATTTATTTTAGTGAAAGAATGAAGAAAAGAATAAAAGAGAAAGTGGGAAGCAAAGGAAGAGAGATAGACACGTCTTAATAAGTACTAGAATAGAGAGACAAAACAGAAACTAGTAGATGGAATTTGAAAGGAAGAAGAATTTGAAGGAAAGTGTGAAGTAAAAATCGGAAAGAAAAGAAAACAAAGCGAAATAAAGAATAAAATGAAGTGGAAAGAATAGGGATAAGATCTTCTCCATTTCTTTGTTTCTTTATTTTCTTCATTATTATAGTTTTTATTTATATAAAAATCAACTAAATATTAATTATATGTCATATGTTCTAGAAATGTGTGTTATTTATACACAAAACTATGGGTTGGGATCCACCCCATTTCTTTGTCTCTCCATTTTTTTTATTACTATAGTTTTGTGTGTAAATAACACATATTTCTAAGATATGTGACATATAATTAATATTTAGTTAATTTTATATACATAAAAACTATAATAATGGAGAAAATGGAGGGACAAAGAAATGGAGTGGATCCCAACCCCAAAACTATAGTAATTGAGAAAATGGAGAGACAAAAAAATGGAGAGAATCTCATCTCAAAAGAATGAAGGGGTGTACACGTTCGGTGATAGAATGTAAGGAAAAGTGAGAGGTATGTGAATTATGTTGAGAGAATTAAGTCAATGAAGAAATTTTGAGAAATAAATTATGGTAAAGTTCCACATTCATTAAAAATGTGGAGATTTTATCATTTATAAGTGGGAAAACCCATATGCTTATTATAAATTTTTTGATGAGTATCTGATTTGTCTCTCATAAGTTGTGTTGCTCAACTAAAAATAACAATGATACCCCGATTTATAGCCTCGACAAAATATGGGGCAGAAAAAAGGTTGAAAATTTTTAAATATGTATTTTTTTTGTCGAAGTCGAAATAGTGTGTTTGTATTCTACAGGTGTCGAAATTGGTTTGTGTCGAATAGATGGCAAATATAACTTATCGAAGCATGTAGCTATCGAACGAGTCGATAAAGTCGAAATAGTTAACTTAGCTTAGTTTTAGTTAAGTTAGTGATTTTTGTGATTACTTGAAGTGCAGGTAATCTCATCTATAAAAGGAGAGGATCTTTATTTTATTTGTAATTAAGTAAGATACATATTTGTAATAACATTGTGTAGATTCTAAAATCACAATTATGAGTAACACACGTTATCAAACACTTAGAGTGTAGTTTACACAACAATATTACATTCTTATTCTTCCTCTAGAAATTCTCTTTTCTCTCACTTTTAATTACATTATTTTCTTCTTTCAATTCTCTGTGTAGTGTAGAATCATCTTGCACCTAAGGAGTGGTTGTTTCACTTGAGTAAAAGATGAAGAACTAGAGGTGTGATCAATCAAAAAAATTGATTCTTGTTCATCAAGATTGATTCGGTTAACTTCAACATTAGAGTTTTTCCAACATCTAATATCTAGAGGACTGACTGTGTGATGTTTAGGACACATTGAATCACGATGAATCGTCCGAATGGAAATTATGAAAATTAGTGTAAGCAGATGAAAGTTGTTTTTTGTTATCAAAATCTTCGTGATCTTATGAAGAATGGTGTAACACCAATTAGAGAGAATGCTACGAATGAACAAAAGGTTGCACACAAAGATTTGAAGAAGAAATATTACAAGACTCTTTTCTTAATCCATCAATGTATTGATCTAGACAACTTTGAGAAAGTTGGTTATGTAGATTCAACAAAGGAAGCATGGGAAATCCTGGAAAAATTGTTTGGAGGCGTTGATAAAGTGAAGGATGTGGGGTTACAAACTCACAAAAGAATGTAGGAATTGCTTCAAATGGAAGACAATGAAAGTGTGATTGATTTCTTCACTAGAGTAACAAAACAGGTAAATCAAGTCAAGACGTATGGAGAGGTGTTGGCATCAAAATATGTAATGTCAAAGATTTTGATGTCATTGGCTCCAAAGTTCGATCATGTGGTAGTAGTCATAGAAGAATCGAAGGATTTGTCAAGTATGACAAAAGCAGAGCTTCAAGGGACTCTTTAATCTCACGAAAAATTAATGAGTGAAAGAACAGCAAGCAAGTCAGAGACTGACTTGGATTTGCAAGCTCAGTTGAATAAGAAAGGCAAAGGAAAATGGAATGGTAACAAAGGCAGAGGACGTAACAACAATTCTAGTGGTAGAGGAAACTATCAAGAGGGTAGTTCATCAAATCAAAGACAATCTTCTAACCAAGGAAATCAGATAGGTGATGGTGCAGGTAGAGGAAAAGGTGATGAAAGGAACCTACTAAAAGTCATATTCAGTGCTACAATTGTGAAAAGTATGACCATTTTGCAAATCAATGTCGAAGAGGCAAGAAAGATTAAGAAAGTGATGCAAAACTTGCAAAAGACGAAGTGATGCTAATGGTCACAACAAAAGAAGAAAGATTCAAAGATCAATCGTATCTCGACTTAGGTTGTTTATTGTACATGACTGGACGAAAATATTGGTTTATCTACATCAGTCGCTAGTAAAAGAACAAGGTAAATTTTGCAAACAACGATACCTTATATGATGAAGGTATTGGTGATGTTTTGATCTAGAGAAAGGATGGTAAACGATCAATAATTTTTAGTGTATTGTACATGTCTGGCATGAAGAGTAATCTGTTAACTATAAATCAATTGATCGAAAGGATTTACAAAGTATTGATTGAAGATAGAATGATGAGACTGGTCGACTCAAGAAACAGGTTAATCTTCAAGGCTCATATGTCTCAGGATTGAACTTGATGTATTGGAACACAAGGTCCTGGCGATTGCAACTAGGAAAGATGAATGCTTATGGAATTACAAACTTGGTCACTTGAATTTTAATGACATTAATAATCTGAAGAGAAAGAACATGCATTCAGTCCTACTGAAAATCCATATTCCAGAAGAAGCATGTGAAATATGTGTTCATGCAAAGCAACACAAGAATAGCTCTAGCAAGGATGCAAGAAGTAAGTTAAAATCCACTTTTGATATAATCTACTCAGACGTGTGTGGCCCTCTCCAGATAGATTCACTTAGAGGTAACAAGTACTTTGTTACATTTATTGGTGATTAAACAAGAAAGTTGGGGACCTACTTAATCAAGAAGAAAATTGATGTGATCGGTGTTTTCACCAAGTTCAAACCAATGGTCGAAAGACATAGTGGTCACAAGATTAAGGTTCTGAGGACAGATGGAGGTAGAGAGTATATGTCAAAAGACTTCGGCATACTATGTACAATAGAAGGAATTGTGCATGAGGTGGTGCCACCGTACACTTGATAAGTGATTTTTATATCGTTTTTAGTAGTTGCTTTTCCTTTATATTTTACTGTTTTCATCCACTTTCCCTTCATTTTACCATGTTTTACGCTTCCGTATTGTATTTCCTTTGTTTTCAGGTGATAATAAGCATCCAAAGCAAAAGAAGAACGAAAAATGGATAGAATGCGAAAAAAAGGCGAATTGTCAGAAGGATTCACAAAATATATTTTTCAGCATGTTGCACATCATGATAGACCAGTGGTATTTTGACCATATCATGATGACTCGAAATGACATGTGTTGTACCCCAAAATTTTACCAACCGTTTCTCGTATTTGGCTTATGTTTCGTCTCATTTTGCATTTGCATCTGCATACCCCATACTGTGCATTTCTTTCAGTCGGATTGATTTTATCGGGATTACAGCTCTTTTCCTCGTGTTTTAGACGATTCAAACCGTTTCGAATAAGGAGTTTTATTATGGAATTTGCACTCTGCCCGGTGATTCAATTTACGTTATTGGTTTCGGTGGTATTTCGGTGCCCGCATTTTACCGGTTATTTCGTTGCATGCTCGCATTTTTTGTTAACTGATTTAATTTTGTTTCATTGCTTTTCTGTGGAATTATCTTTAATTTCCTAGAATTTATTTCTTATTTTTGGCATAGATTTTAGATATTAAATATATTTTATCTTTTTTTCTCTATTTTTTTTCTTAGAATTAAATAGTTATTAATTTCTTTTTAGAGTTTAAATAGATTTAACTATTATTAGTTTTTAAATAGCTTTTAGTTTTAGAATATATTAGGTTTTAATTAGTTAGTTTTAATTGACTAGGTTTGAATATTAGTTATTAATTGGTTTTAGTTTTAACATTAATATTCATTAAGTTTTTAGTCACTTGTCATTCTGCTTTATTGTTCAGCTTTATTAGTATTAGTCTAAGCTAGTTTTAATCATTAATTTTCATTTTCAGCTTTAATCATTAATTAAGTCCACTAATCAAATTTCAATACAGTTTGTGCCACTTGTCATTTTGTCAGGCTATAAATAGCATAGTATTCTCTCTCATCATTAATGGTTGGCACAATTCTCGAGAAAACCTTAATTGAGCCGACCAGACAAATCAACGGCGTCCAAATACGCCGGAAAACACACCGGAAAATTCAAACCCGCCGGAAACTGCATACGAGTTCATACGTGTTCATCACGCTCATAGTCATTTTTTCCAGAAACTTCATTCAAACTCATACGAAATTCACCTGTGTTCATCAACTTTTTTCCAGAACGCATGAACATTCAAACACTCATCATAGTTTTTCCAGAAATCTTCATGAACTTCCATCATGTTCATCAGATCATTCATCCGGTCACAACCGTTTTTCCCCAGAAACTTCAGATCCATACGAACTACCACCGTTTTTCATCAACATCTTCCCAGAAAATCACCGGAAACTTCAAACACGCATGAACCTTCAAGAATTTCTCCAGATTCATATGAACATTCACCATACTTTTTTCCAATTTTTCAAGAACTTCATCGATTTCATCCAACTTCAACCAGATCCAGATCGAACCACAA